TACCCAAAACATATAAAGAATCCTTACAAATCAAGAATAAAAAGACAAACAACCCATTAAAAACAGGCAGACTACTGGGACAGTCCAAAAAGTAATCACCAATATGCTATGAAAAGATGCTCAGGAAAATGCAAATTAAAACACAATGAGATACCATTTCATACCAACTACAATAGATAAAATCAGAAAGATTGACAGTAGCAAATGCTGGCAAAGATGAAGTGCAATTAAAACTCCAAAATATTGCTGATGAGCAGGGAAAAAGGTGTAATTACTTGGTGAAACAGTTTGTAGTTTCTTAGGAAATTAAACATACATGTATCCTATGCGTGCTAAGTCGCTTAGCACAGGTCAACTCTGTGTGACCTTCTGGACTGTAGGCCACCGAGCTCCTCCATCCATGCGATTTTCCAGGCAAGAATACTGGAGTGGGTTGCCATTTCCTTCTCCAGGGGATCTTCCCAACCCAGGGATAAAACCCAGGTCTCCCAGAATTGCAGGCAGATTCTTTAGCAACTGAGCCAGAGTAATTTAATTTCTAAGTGTTTATCCAAGGGAAACATAAACATATATCCAGCAAAAACAATAACAAATGAAAACATCAAAACACTTGTACAAGAATGTTCATAGCAGTCTTGCTCAAAACACCCCAAATCTGGAAATAACCCACTATCTATCAACAACTGAATAAACAACTTGTGGTACATCATATAGTGGAATTCAGCCCAAGAAAAGAAAGAAACTACTGGTATATATAAAACAATATGCTGAAGTGCAAACACATTAATCTGAATGAAAAAAGGGCAACTATGTGTCTCTATTCATGGGAAGACCAAGAAAAGGGGAAACTCAAAACAAGGGAGCAGAAATCAAAAGTGGTTGCCTTGGGATGACGAGTTGGATATGACCACAATGGGACAGGAGGAGACTCTCAGGTGACAGAAATGTTCGTTCCAGATACACTGTCTTAGATGGCGGTTACAAGGCACCGGTTTGATCCCTGGGTCAGGGAGATCCCCTGGAGGGGGAAATGGCAGACCGCCCCAGTATTCCTGCCTGAGAATCCCACGGACAGAGGAGCCTGGCAGGCTACAGCCCACAGGGTCGCAGAGAGCTGGACACAACTGAGCCTGCATGCAGAGGGGGAGTGTACACAGCTATCAGAACTCATCAGACTGAACACTTAGGATCTGTGTTTTATGTACAAATTATACTTACATTTTTTAAAAACGGAGAAAGATTTATTTACTCTGACCTAAAGAGGAGACAGTGTTACCAATTTACCTAAATTGGTTAGGAATTAACAACTCTCTTTGATACAAGAGAAAGAGCATTTCAGACACAGAAGTGCTTATAGCACAAACTCCTATTTGAGTATAAAAATATCACAAAATTATATTTATATAGAAATCAGTGTCCTTTGAAATTCTGATTAGCCAATTAACTACTAATAGACTATAACCATGGACTTCTTGGCTTCATGACTCGGGAAATATTATTAGCATATTATTTCTTTACCATATTTTAGCAATAAAATACTTCAGAGTAAATATAATAAAGCCTCATTTAAAAATTCTTGTGGACCATATAATATGGAAATTAGCTAGAAGAATTTTATAATGCCTTTTAGGTATTCAAAACAGTATTTATTTATTCAGTCATTAAACTACTGAGTACTAGAAACAGTGCCAGGTACTGTGCTAGGCCCTGGGAACACGAGGATTCCGTCCCCGACATCAGTGCGGTTATTCTACAAATGAAGCTAGAAAGTGCTCACTCATTTCACGTGTGTTGGAACACATTCTCTGTGCCAGGTAGCGAGGAGACAACAGCGACACAGGCAGATGCGGCCCCTGCCCTCACAAGGCTCGGACGCGAGTATAAGACGACTGTTGGAAGAAGGTCTGAGCTTTCTGGGAGGACGTGCTTAGCAGGCCAGGCCCTAAGAAGATGACTCCTGAGTGGAGGGAGACTCTGACCCGGAGAAGAGATGGAGAATCACTGGGCACCAGGCATCCTTGCGGGAAAAACGGACTGGACACCGTGCTCCCTCCCAGCTGGACACCTGGAGCCCAGCTGCGGAAGGTGAGGAACGTCTGCAGAGCCCAGCAGAGGATCCCTTACTAGGAAGCGTCTGTCCCCAGAGCCTGGCTTCCTGCTGGACCCCATGCAGGAATCCGGACAGGGGGCCTTTTGGAAAGGGCCCACTTGCCTGAACTCTAACTCTGGCATCTTTCATTACTGACATCAGTCAGGTTGTTGAGGCTGTGACACGGGGCAGAGGAGAGCAGGGACTATCAGCATGGAGGATGCTACTGCTGGTCTGGAACCCAGCATGGCTTCTTCCGTCTGTATCAAGGCCTCACTCAATCAAGTGGAAGGGCTAACTCTGGTGATAAGAGCTTAAGTAAGTTAGAAGACCTCCAATCATGGGGCTGTGTAAAAAGGCACCAATGGATAAAGAGGCACGTGGCCTGAGGCCCTGCTGCTAGCTCAGGTGTGGATGTTTCATCACCTCTGCAAGAGCAGCAAAAACTACACACTTTAATAAACTGTGCTGTCAAAACAGAAAATCTGTGAGTGTTCTGGAATGTACAAGGTATGTGATTTTACTCTTACTGTAAGAGACTGCAATAGTTAAAAACTATGAAATTCTGTTCCATGAACACTCAATTGGGCATTTCAGAAGTCACAAATTCCTAAATAAATCAGATGGGTCTTTCTGAAGACTGGTCACAATTTAGATGTGCTTATTTTTTATTTATAGAAGTAATTTATGGTTATTTAAGGACAAAATTGGAGCAGGATTTGAGTGTTAATTTGTTGTTCTGAGCTCAAAAGTTGAATGAATAAGGAAATGTCAAATCCCATTTTTAAAAAGAAATGTGCAGCTAAGTAAAATCAGAGCACAGTGAATGTTATCCACACACGTAATGGAAAATCTATCACGAAAATACCTAGGCACTTGCTGTTAAAGACTTAATTACAGCAATCCATGGTAAGGCAGAGAAGAGAAATCAGGCTTCTTGATTTCTAGAGATATTCTTATCCATGAAATCACATGTCATCTCGCATCCTCATCTCTCACTTGGATAAGCAGTGCAAATATCAAAGCCCACTGCCATGGACGGTGTCCACAGACGCGGCACGGATTGGCTCACTGCCCTCCAGGTGCCTGCCTGCCTCTGCCTGCCCTCCACTCACATATCACCGCCGGGGGTTCCCCATGAACATACGCCTTCCCTCTGGGTCAGCCCCACGGCCTGTCTTGCTGCTCAGTGACAGCCCTGATGCATGAACTCTTTGACAGCCTCTAAACAGCTAAGAAAGTAGTTGTAAGGCTATGGCTTGAGGGTCCAGCCTGGTAAAAACACCTTGGGCATTAAATAGCTAAAGGGGGACTTTGCCAAAGGTTTCACAGCTACAATAGTTTTTTCATCCTAGATGAAGTAATGTTACAATAAACCAACTTCTAGAGAATAACGTGGTAGTTACAAGGGCTACATATAGACTTGGAGTATTATTTAGCAAGATGATCAAGTTTGTCTCAACTTATATTCCCTAAATTGGTGACTAAGGGTATCCACGCACCTTCCAGGTTGGTCATTCATTCATTCACTCCTGCAAGTCACCTTACTGAGGCATTATAGACCTACAGTGGCTGTATCTTCTTAATGTGTACAACTTGATGAGTTTAGAGGTTAAGTATGCGTCTGCAAAACCATCACCACAATCTATGACATAAACCTACCCTTCACCCCCTAAAGTTTCCTCCTACCCTCGGTATTTATTATGACTATTTTTATTTATTTTTTTGTGGTAAGAACACTTAAAATAAGATTTACTCTCTTAGCAAATCTTAGGTTTGTAACAGTATCATTAACTATGGGCCTAGGTAGTGCAGTAGATATCTAGGACCTACTCATCTCAGCCTTATTTATTATTAATCTGATATTTTGAAAGGTGAAAAATGGTACTTCACAGGTGTTTTAATTTGCATTTCTTTGACTAATTATGAGTTTGAACAGCCTTTTGATGTTTATTTGCTGTTTGTAATCCTTCTTTTATTGAGTGCATACTATATTCAAGGCACTAATTTAGGTGCTGAGGATACAACAGACAATAAGACAAACATGCAGAATTTATATTTTAATGTAAGAAACAATAAAAACACAGAAAAAGTAGAATAAAACGCTAAAAATACCATTTTTAGTAAGAATTGCTATTAAAAACCCCCACAAAAACAAAAATAGTAACAAAGCAAAATAAAAGGAGTCAAGTGGTCCGTTATTTTAGACACAGCAGTCAAGGAGAGGCTCTCTGAAGAGACGATATCCGAGCACAGACTGAACAGTTAGTGTGGATTCTCAGGGAAGAGCCCAGGCCTGGGGGAGAGCAAGCTCAAAGCTCCTGAAGGGGGGGCCTGATCGGGAGCTAGGGGGACGGCAGCGGGCCAGTATGGCCGGAGTCCAGTGAGCCAGGGGGCGCAGACCGGGGTGCAGAGACAGGGGCCGGGCGTGCAGGGCCTCCCTGCAGCGCTGCAAGGCGGTGGACCTGCTGCCAGGCGTGCTGGTAAGCCACTAAGGGCTCGGAGCAGAAGAGCGGTAAGACTGGGCCTCCCGGGAGACAAGTCAGGAGGCCGTGAGGAGACTGGAAGGACGCATGACTCAGTATCAGCAGGGCAGAGACCAGAAAGTAACTGTTTCAGGATACAGTTTGAGCAGGCGCTGCTGCCAGACCTGACGGGTGCAGTCATGGAGAGAGGGGAGTCCAGGGCGCGCTAGGGCGACATCAGCCGGCCAAGACATTCACGGTCTCTGAGGACACTGGGGGGTAACAGGTGTGTGGAGGTGAAACCAAGAGTTCAGTGCAATCAAGCGAGCCTGGAGTTAAGTTAAGGAAAGAAGTCAGGCTGCAGACACAAATGAAGGGCCCTTCAGCCATAAATGGAACGCAGCGCCAGGACCTGGGCTGAGGTCCTCTGGGCAGAGAAGAACATGGCAGGAGGTGGGATGGCCCCTGAGGCAGGATCTTGTATTTCTTACTGAACCATGCAAGTTTCCACACATAAATGAAAAAGCTTGTCAGTCATTTCTTTCACAGATATTTTCCCAATTTTGTTTGCTTTTGATTCATTTTTTAAAACATTTCTGACCTATCTATTCAGAAACAATTGTGCAATAAAATCTACCAGTCCTTCCCTTTGTGACTTCTTCCATGACTTTTAAGGATAAAAAGTCAAGTAACTAGAGGTCAGACAGATTCTTAGGTTTTATTTCTATGTTTGCTTGTTTGAGTGAACTCTGATTAACTCAGAATTTGTTTTGCTGTGTGTTAAAGTTATAAGTTGATATCTTTTCAAAAGACTTGTCGAGTTTCCCAACACCATGTATGAACTTCTCCCTCATTCACTTGTCTGTGATGTCTTCACACACTACATACACTTCAGTTGCTCACTTTCAGCTCCAGGCTTTGAATCTGCCAAGGTGATGATGAGAGAGCTGCCTCCTAGTCCTTACAATGACACTGCATAGAGGAAATACATAAAACAGAACCAACAATTTTGAGAAGAATGCAGGGACAGAAAGCTAAATAGAAGATAAAACATGAAGGGGAAAAGGAAAGAGTACAGTCTATTTCCTTCTTTGAAAAAGAAGAAAAGGAGATGTTGAAAAATGTTAAAAAAAAAAAAATCACATATACACAACAACAGCTATCAACTTGCTCACACTAGCCAGGATTATCCCAGGTGCCCTCAGGAGGTAAGACAAGTGACCTGCCTGCAGGGGCTCAGACCTCAGTGTGGGGACTGGCGACAGACAACACACGTGCTATGGCTTCAGTGAGAAGTGAGCGCTACAGGAATGAGAGGAGCTGCCAGGCAGAGGGATCCGGGAGGTGAGGACAGAACAGAGACCGAGAGAGGCCTGTGCGGCGCGCAGAGGCACAAGGGCACAGAAAGAGGTGCTCATCATCGCTCGTTATTAGAGAAGCGCAAGTCAAAACTACACTGCGACATCATCTCACACCAGTCAGAATGGCCGTTACCACAACGTCGACAGACCATGCACGCTGACGAGGCCGTGAAGCAAAGGCAGCCCCGTGCACTGTGGGTGGGGATGCATGCTGGGGCAACCACCATGGAAAGCAGCATGGAGGGTGCTCAAAAAACCAAAACCGGAGCTGCCACGTGGTCCAGCAATCCCACTGCTGGGCATATATCCAGAGAAAACTGTAATCCAAACAGATACATGCACCCCTGTGTTCACAGAAGCATGATTTACAGTATCTAAAACAGAAACAACTCAAATGTCCATCGACAGATGAATGGGTAAAGAAGATGTGGTCCATGTACAGTGTGGATGCTACCCAGTCATCCCAAGAAGGAGATAATTGCCATTTGTGGCAACATGATGGACCCAGAGATTATCACACTAAGTGACGTTAAGTCAGAGAAAGACAGATACTACATGATATCACTTAAATGTGGACTCTAAAATACGACATAGTGGTGGGGGTTTAGTTGCTCAGTCGTGTCCGCCTCTTGCGATGCGACATCATCTCACACCAGTCAGAATGGCCGTTACCACAACGTCGACAGACCATGCACGCTGACGAGGCCGTGAAGCAAAGGCAGCCCCGTGCGCTGTGGGTGGGGATGCACGCTGGGGCAACCACCATGGAAAGCAGCATGGAGGGTGCTCAAAAAACCAAAACCAGAGCTGCCATGTGGTCCAGCAATCCCACTGCTGGGCGTATATCCAGAGAAAACTGTAATCCAGATACATGCACCCCTGTGTTCACAGAAGCATGATTTACAGTATCTAAAACAGAAACAACTCAAATGTCCATCGACAGATGAATGGGTAAAGAAGATGTGGTCCATGTACAGTGTGGATGCTACCCAGTCATCCCAAGAAGGAGATAATTGCCATTTGTGGCAACATGATGGACCCAGAGATTATCACACTAAGTGACGTTAAGTCAGAGAAAGACAGATACTACATGATATCACTTAAATGTGGACTCTAAAATACGACATAGTGGTGGGGGTTTAGTTGCTCAGTCGTGTCCGCCTCTTGCGACCCCATGGACTGCAGCCCGTCAGGCTCCTCTGTCTATGGGAGTTTTCCAGGCAAGGATACTGGAGTGGGTTGCATTTCCTTCTCCAGGAAATACGACATAAACGAACATATTTACAAACGGAACAGACTCACAGACACAGAGAGCAGATCTGTGTTTGACAAGGTGGGGGGGCGTGAGGGAGGGGTGGACTGTGAGTTTGGATGAGCAGAGGAAACTGCCCTCTACAGGATGACGGACAGCAGGTCCTAGCGTACAGCACGGGGACCCACATTCAGCATCCTGTGATAAACCACAATGGAAGAGAACAGAGGAGGAACGATGTATGCATAACCGAACCACTCTGCTGGACAGAGGAATGAATGCAGCACTCTAAATCAGCCATACCTCCACACGCTTTTGTGTGAGATGATGCTCGTGCTGAAGCCACAGAGAAGGAGGGAGGTGGGAGGGGGACAGGCAAGGCCCTGGCGAGCTCCAGTGGGAGGAAGGAGGAAGGGAGGCCGAGGAGGGGCAGGGGGAGACGGCAGACTGCTGAGCCCCGGGGCGTTTCAGTGGGAGCGCAGCACTCTGCGAGGTCCCGTGAAAACTCACCTGGGGGCCGGGGGCGGGGGGGATGTGCACTGTGGGTGTGGGGCGGAGCCCAGGGGCCAGAGGGGACTCCAGCTAGGAGGAGTCTGCACGAAGAAAGGACCTCAGACACACTTTAAAGAGCACTTCCAGCCTCCATACTTGACATGAGAGGAAGGAAACACAAGTGGCTAGACCATGTGATTCCTGAGGGCAGGGGTTTTTGTTTGGTTTGTTCACTCTCTTCAAGGCCTAGAATAACGGCAGTCTGGCACTCCAGAAAAATTTGTGAAACTAAATGAACAAAAGTGACTACAGGGAATAAATCTTTTATCTGTGAAAGAAAAATCAGATGGACAAACAGGAAAGCACTTCAGGCCTCCCCTGGTGGGCCAGTGCTTAAGAATCAGGCTTGCAGTGCAAGAGACGCTGGTTCAATCCCTGGTCTGGAAGAGCCCACGTGCCACAGAGCATCTGAGCCCAGGCGCCACAAGTACGGAGCCAGCGCTGGGGCCCGCGGGCCACGGCTTCTGACGCCTCCCAGCCCAGACCCCGTGCTCCGCAGCAGGAGAAGCGACTGCAACAGGAGCCCGAGCACTGCCCCTAGAGAGCGGCCCGCGCAGTGTCGCCAGGGCGGCCGGCGCCTGCCACGGAGACCCAGCGCCCGCCACGGAGACCCAGTGCCCGCCACGGAGACCCAGCGCGGCAGTCAGAGCTCCCGAGAGCCTCGCGGGCCACACAACTGCTCCCGTGATCACACAGCCCATCAGAGCAAGGGACAGACTTCAGACAAGGATACTGGATTTAAAAATAACACTGCATTAAAACAGGGTTCAAATCGCAGGTTTCAATGTAGCTGTGTTCTTAATAAAACCCTTCTCATCCCATGGACTATGGGTTTCAATGTGTCAGGAATTACGTCTTTTTTTTCCTTTCTCTTAACTCCAAGTGAGAGGAGAACACACCATGGGCGTGTCCTCCATCCACGCACCTGAGGTCGCTGCACCCCTACTGAAGAAAAGCGAGCAGCAGGCAAAACGCTGAAGGAAGAAAACTCGGACAACTTGCAGCATTTATCAGGACTAACATTTCAGTCTTTCAGAGTAAACTTTGAAATTAAGTTCTAATTTGAGATGGTTCTGGTTTGACAAGTTAACTCTTGAGACATCTGAGTGTGGTATTATGGAAGAACAAAACTGTTCATCAACCCTTTATGCAAGTGTGAATTTCTTTTAAAAGTAGGATTTAATGACTTTTTATTCCTACAGTGACCCTTAAAGCTTCTATGTATGTAATCACAAATGCACACGTAAGGTGCATTTATAGCTTATTGTGCAGTTCTAAAGACAGTTGGGAAACCCAATTTTAATTTTGTTACTGAAATAATTTAAACATGTATTATAGAACTGCCTCTTTTCAATCAAGAGAAAGGATCTAGAAAGAGATTATACATGTAGGCACAATTTATTTTAGGTTTATTAGTGTTAGAAAAATGAAGTTGCCAAACTTCAATCTGTAACAAGTACTCTTGTACTTATTTAATTTTTATTACCACTGACATCAACATACCTTTTCTCATACCTCCAAGAAAAACTCAGATAATTTATTTAACAGAGATCCATTACATGCATTAACCACTGATACACTAAAACCTAAAGAATTATTTTCAGCAAATGCGTAAAATTTCCTGACAATCTCCAAGAATATCTTAGTGACTTAGAACTTTCATTAGAGAAAGAGGACTTACCGGCTTTTATTCATGAGATCTGCTCCTCGGGCTTTGTAATAATCTAAATTTGGATGGAATTGATAAGTCACTGGTCTTGGATTTCTCTACAGGAAAAAAGCAATAAGTTAAAAATGTATAAAATTATATAATTTGTATACTAAGACAAAAAATGATGAAACAATTGCTTTTATACTCTTAAAGAAGAAATACATATAATAATGATGTTTAATAATTAATGTGCTTGGGTATTTTTTTCATTGTTGAAGTTTTGCCCTAACTTATCTTTGTCTGATTAAACACAATTTAATACATTTTACTTTTACCTGTCTCAGGTCACACTGATTTATTCCTTTCATTAGATTTCAGTAATTTTGATCAGTTTCAATGCCTTTCCAAAATACAATCAGATAAAATCACAACAAAAGTGAAGTATTATACAAGATGCAACATCAGCACAATCTATTCTTAGGACCAGGAGACACGACAGTGGTCAAGAAAGCTACATCTTGAAGAAGAGCAAAACCCAGTTTTTGACAACGAGTGCTAACTATGCCCAGTAGATGGCACACTGGGACTTTCTTCTAAAATGAATGTTATTCCGGAATTCAGCAATTCTTTTCAAGTTAGCAGTTTCTATGTCATCTGTTCTTATGTACGAGTTGAATAAGTGCCCAGGTAGTGGACATATTATCACGGTACCACCACAATATGAAAGCAAACTGACCAACGCACATTTTTATAAAAGCAGCAATACATTGTACTTTCTGGCATTTAATATTATTTGTAAACTTGCAGAAATGTTCTTGAATCATTAGGTTGGGTGTGTCTATTTAAACAGGTTGCTATTATTTAATGTGTCTATAATTTACAAGTATCAAGTTCCTTGGGCAAATAAAAATTAATCAAATACACTTCTACAAAAACACACTTTTATAAAAATGTAACACGTTAATAAATTGCACAACCTGAATATCATCTCTAAAAGGTTAAACTACATGTTTTTCACTAAAAAGTTTTTTAAAACAAGGAAATGTGATCCAGTGTTTACCTAAACATGTAACTCAAACTAATAATTGGGACCTTGAAACAGCATGCCCTGTCCTTTGAGAGAACCAACTAGACACAGAAAGGCTGAATTTTATTTTAACAGAAAATTATCAACATGCTTTGATATCGGTCCTTGGAGACATAATCCCAAGGCATGGATATACTTTCATGTAGGTGGGGGACATAATTGCTAAGGTTAAATAGTTTGAAATTCATCAAGCTAACAAGCTGCATCTTAAGGCCGTGATGGACCTTTTCTTTTTCTGCTGAAAAGAGAGTATTTACACAGCTCAACCCTTTCATATCTCTTCCAAGTCAGCCCTAATCATCTGACAAAAACGACAATCCCTTGATTTAGCTCCAGCTACTACTCCACTGGTTTGGTATTCAACACAGTTCTACAATAATCAAATCTGAATTGCCTTGATGAAGATAACTGATGCTTCCATGACTACCATGCTATTAAGTCTAACAGTGCAACTTCTCACTCTCCAGGAATTACATAGGTTTCCTCGTGGTAGCTGATGACAACCTGGACCCAAGCGTAACGGGAAAACGAGACAGAGGTCAAAGCCACTGGCGGACTGACAGTGCACTCATGACGTGTTTTTAAAATTAGCTTTCCGAGGACTATCGCTCATGACCAGGCTTGCTCCTTGTTCTCAGTACTTGGAAACATTTCGTTTTTACTACTATAAAAGGCTTTTCTTCTCTTGACTTTCAACAAATTAATAAAGGATTGTGTTACTTTTTGCTAGAAAACAATGAAAGAAGGGAAGGCACTGTGCAATTTCTTGAAATATCTTTATAAAGAAATGACGAGCAATTCAAGACATGAAGCGCTGGTCTATCTAAGCACTTAAAGCCATTATTAGGAATAATGATCTAACTTGAACTTATGAATGAGGCTCAAGTATTGCTTTCACTGAGGTCTATTTAAATTCCTAGGAGACTTACTAGTATCAAACAGGAGAGGCGGCTTAAAGTGACACGGCATAGGGATAGAAAAAAAAAGAATGAATGAAAAGATGATGTTGAGAAACAGTATTTGAAATGTAAGAAAATAAAATCAGAGGTTACAATTGAAAGTCATTCCACAGGATTTTCTATCTGCTGTCTGCTGTTACTAAAACATAAGTAGGTACACACAGGGGTGTTCAGACTGGCACTGTCCCACAGAAGTGTAACACGGCTCACAAATGCAAGCTTCCTATGTAATGTAAAAGTTTCTAGCAGACCACATTAAAAAAGAGAAACAAATGGAGTGAAATTACATATAATAATATTTTGTTTCATTTGACATAACCAAAATGTTGACACTTAAACATGTCATCAGTATAAAAATTGAGATGTTTTATATGCTTTCTTTTGTACAAAGTGTTTGAAATCCAGCATATATTTTACAGATAGCACATCTCAGTTTGGACCAGCCACACTTGAAGGGCTCAACGGCCACAAAAAGACTGTAGCTACTGTAATGAACAGAACAGAACCAAATGTCTGATGTGTAAGTGAGGAAACACGTGGCTACAGAAATCACATATATAGACACCTAGGTATAAAAGGCACATACTTATACAGTAAGATTCAGGGCACCCAGCTCTTTAGTTCACCTATAATTCTTCTCTTTTAACACATTATTGACTGAGAGATTTTTGCAGAAATGAATACCTGTGGTTGGCGATTTGTTAAGTGAATCTTGAAATGTCTCAAGTCAATAATGTTTGGGTAACAAAAGACGTATTAATATGTCTCTGGTCAATAATGAATTAATTCAGTTACTTTTGTCTCTTCTGAATATGGTTTTACAAAGTTAAGAAATTTTAGAGCAGTATATCTTCTCACTCAACCATGTACCAACATAAGAGGTGGGATGAGATTACATGAGCAGAAGTCTAACCTTATGCAGTGGAATCATTTTAAAAGTAAGAAGATATTTGTTTCTCTTGTTTTAAAGAATTTTTTTCCAAACCGAATTTAATAGAAATACAATAGCTTTTAATTCTTACTTTTTATAGATCTGGAATTTCCTCTAAAATTTAAGAGCCACTAGAATTTACACACATAAAACTCTTCATGTAACAAAGACCAGACCTCACAACAGTTGTAAGATCTCATTGTTCAGGACATGTGATGTTGACAACTTTAACCTGGTATGTCTTTGCAAAGGATTGGGACAATTAGCAATTATTTTAAACCCATTTTCACACAGTCACGATTTCAAGTATTATAAGCTTTCCAAGCCAGTATACATTAACAAAACAACAACAAAAAATACCACTTTTGGGGGAGAATTCTTCTTCAGAAGAAAAAATGGTAAATGTAACTTATGCTAGTCTGTGTACAGAAACATACCAATTATGTTTCATGACTGAGAGGTCGACATAACTACACATGAAAATGTAGAAATCACAAACTGAATTCGCCGTGGATTTACTGTGCCTTTCCTAGACCAACCTGGATGGACTTGAAATAAATCTTCCACAAGACTGCAGCTAATTAACTTCCCAAGTACCATTCCATCCTTCTCTGTTAACAAGCTATTGAAGCTCTTCTGAAGGCTCTCTCTTCAGCATTTACTTTACGGCAACACAAGAGGAAAGCTGGAACTCCCACCCTTGGGACAGACGAGGTGGAATCTGGGGAGGCAGCCTAGAGCCTCGTGGGCCAAAGGACTTAACACAAGCAGGACAGATAATGGTGGAAACAAGAGTTCTAGAGGGAACTACATGGGAAAGACCAGACCAGACCAAAGTGTGCAGTACTTCTGAATTTTCAAAGTCCTTTTGTTAATTTGGCATGACCAAGTCAATTTACAAGTAGTGCTTAAATGACAGCAATCAGTGTTAGGGACAAAACTGACTGAAGCCTAACCTCTCTGTTGCGGTTCGCGTCCTTCACTTCTGAGGTCTGTGGTGTACGTAACCAGGTAAAATGCCCTCCCTTCCCGAGTGTGGCCTGGGACAGTGGCCCAGCCCCTCTGCTCACTCTGAGACATAGCCCTTCCCTGCCACGCCTACCCGCGCAGTCACACTTCAGGATTCTAAGTTCAAACTCACTTTTCTACGGCAGTATGTTGCTTAGTTGCTGTGTCTGACTCTTCTGTGACCCCATGGACTGTAGCCCGCCAGGCTCCTCTGTCCACGTGATTTCTGAAGCAAGAATACTGGAGGGGGTTACCACTTCCTTCTCCAGGTGATCTTCCCAAAACCAGGGGTCAAACCCACGGTTCCTGTTGTGACTCCTGTTTTGGAGGTGGATTCTTTACCTCTGAGCCACGGGGGAAGCCCACAATCCCACCACTAAACGGTAGTATACGAATACTTAAATGCTAACCCACACTAAGTACAACCAGCCACAAGAAGCACACTTAACCACAAGATGAAATGTGACCATTTTGTGACCTTGGTGACATCAAGCTCATCCACAAAGGTCAGTACAGACAGAACACTCTAGATTGCACTCATCCCGCTTGGAACAACACAGTGCCTTTCAAAGGCCTGGCGCTTGTAACACATGGAGGGCTGAGCAGAGCAGAAGGGGCCCAGGGTCAGTGACCCCGGTGCTGATGGACGTACCAGCAGGAGGTGAAGAAGGGTTCAAGTTCTACTTGAAACACACAGGGACTGCGGCAGACCTGACGTCTGACTTAGGGGCTCAGGCTGCCCGGTAGCAGAGGCACGGGATCAGGGGTCGGGGAGGTTCGAGTCCACGCCACCCACGCCTGCCTGTGGAGGACTCACGCCCCGGTTCTGATTTCCTCGTCTGCAAAACCGCGGCAAGGGCTAAACAGGGCAATGGACATAAAGCGCGGCACAGTGGTGGGCACTTCGGAAAAGCTCAAGAAAACAGAAGCTAGAATTCCTTCTGATACACTCAATGCTGATGAGCAGAATGTTGACAGCAGATCTGATAGCTTGATGACTTAAAATCCACGATGGCCAACTGGTAGAGAAAGCAGTGTTCCATCCTTCTGATAACCATACAGAAACTTAGGGCAGGGTTTACCAAATGTTCCATTTGTTTTAAAAAAGTAACACATATTCAGGAACATATA